CATGGTCACAAACACACTCAGACCCCTAATTAACAAAATAGAGCCACAGTCTTCCAAATAAGCAGAGGAACATTTAGTCCAATTCCTTGATGGTCAAGGATGGGCAGCGTTCCTCCTAAGGGCAGACGTGTTAGCCCATTTCTCGTTTAGCCACTGTCTGACTCCTGCCAGGTAGAGCAGCCTTTCCCAAACATCGTCCTTTAAGATGCGACACTAACAGGTTCCATCATCAGAGAGCAGTAAATGCTGCCTCCAGTAGTTCCTTGTCAAGTCACGGTGCACATTAGCATCTTAAAGGCAAAGGGATGTCCTATAATGAAAACATCAAATAAAGTAACTCCTCAGCATTTCATATTGATTTATACTTTTTTAAGTAACATTAACACACTTTGGGAAACTCTGTTCTAGACCAAAGTCGGCTTTGCAGTGTGAGGAGTGTGTGTAGTTGTGTGTGGGTGGCTTGTGGCCATTATCTGCCATCTGCCATAGTGGGTGAGGGACTCTGACACCTCTAGGCTTGCTCAGCTCCTCCCTGGGTTGAGAAGCCTTTCACTGCTCCTCCGCCTTCCCCTCCAGCACCTGGAGGCCCAGAGCACAGGTAGGCAGGAGGCTGCTGGTGAGTGCTGATGAGCTTGCTTCCTGGTGGGGCCCCCAGCTGGCCGTGCAGCTGTCTGTCACAGTAGAGCCCTCCCCAGAGCTCCAGAGTAGCAGGGGACCTGGTAGCTCTGGGTTCCAGATGCTTAGCAGATGCCAGACCTGGGACCAAGGCTCCATCTCTGAGGGCTTGGCTTGCTGTTCTGGAAGGTGATCCTGGCCAGTGGCCATTCCTGAGCCCCTATTTAGAGCAGTTGTCAGGCAGTTGCTGAGTTCCAGCTTCCCCTCCACACCCCTGACCCCCCAGCAGGGCTGAGTGATCTCATGCCTGTGCCATGCTGTAGTGGGGGAGGACATGAGTTACCGTCAGGGCAGGTACCCAGATCAGGGAGCAAGGTCTGAGGCCGGGACAGTGTGCAGGACACCATCCTCGCTCAGGTTCCCAAACCCCACTGTGGAGTTGGCTCTCAGAACAGCCTGGGTCATCGTCTGAGGTCTGGCTGCTAGACCTCTGCATGCAACACTGCCCCCGAAAAGGGGAAGGAGAGCAGAGTGAAGGGGTGCTTGCTGCCGTTCTGCTGTCAGATCTCCTCTTCTCATCGCCCTGTATTGCCACAGAACGCTGTTCTCTCGCACTGAGTGAAGCCCTCAGGGTCACAGCTGGCTTTGGCTAAGGAAAAAAACACTGAATGGGAGCCCAGAGACCCCTGCGCCTTGGGCTGTAGGACTGCAGTTTATAAACTAAGGCTCTTTCCTGCCCCAAAGTTCCTGGGTTCTAAGCTGCTCCTGCCACGTCCCAGGTCTTGCTAAAGGAAGATGCGGGGGGCCCCCTGCTGGCCCATCCGGGGAACTGACCTGTGGCAGGGTCAAGCTCTGTGATGGGGGACCTTTGCTGACCCCAGATGAGAGCAGTGACACTCACCCACCCCATCCCCCAGCACTGGCCAGCCCAGTTCTCTTCCTCCCTTGGGGCCTGGCCCTGTTTTAACAGTGAATCCTGAACTCAGTGGAATCTGGCTGCTGGCTGCTTGGCTTTCCCTTGGCCTTTCTGTTCCCGCGCTCCACTGGGGACCCACCTCCATCTGAACTGCGCCCCTCCCAGCCACCCAGGGCTTGATGACCACCGTGCCCCAGTCCCCACTTCTGCTTTCTCAGGCTCACACATTTGCACGTTCTCTGTACCCCTCCTTCTCCCACTTGCTGGTATAAGAAGGATTTTAAGGACAGGTTGTGCGGAAATGGTCCCTGCAGCTATCCTAGAACACTGATGAGCCATGGCAGCCCTGGAGAATTGGGGCTTATTGCTGCGCCACTTCTGTTTGGTGACATTGACTATTCTCTGTGATGAGTGCGCAGTATCACCCAATGTCCCAGAGAGAGTTCCGCAGGCTGCCCTCTTAACTCCCACCCCCTGTCGTGAGGGTGGGGCTGAGACACTGGGAAATGGAGCCCCCGGGGGCACCAAGCAAGCTGTCGAAGGTCAGTCTCTGCATCCGAAGTCCAAGCTTCACCTTTCTTTTTAAGGGGAACAAAGAGCACACTTGTTTTTCTCTCACCGGCCTCAGGCGACTCGTGGGAATGTGCTGGGGGCCAAGGGAGGACAAGTAGTGGGGTCACTGGAGAAACAGCTTGACTGGGGTCTATTGTGACTGCCTGGGACTCTGGGCATCGGCCCGCCCTCTGCATCCCTTCCGTTGGGTTCTCATCTTTACTTAAGACCATGAGAGGCAGGTGCAGAGCCCCTGCAGGAACTGGAGCTGGAGCACGCCTCTGCCTGGGGAGGTTCACCAAGCATTCAGTTCCTTTGACCCGTGGAGTGGGGGCGGGAGTGAGGGGTGGGAGGACAGGCCGGAGCCACCCCAGCCGGGTCCTGCTGCTTTCCCTGGCCCTGCGCTCCCTAGCCTGCAGCCTGACCGCAAACCTGCTGTGGGGCCATGCTGCCCCCTGCTGGCCACGCTGGCAAAACGCAGCCCAGGGTCAGCCCCAAGGTTACAAGTGCTCCCCCTGGAACTGGAGTCTGTGGGTAGGCTGGAGACTGTGTGCTCCCGGCCCACCAGGACTCTCGGGCTGCATGGGGAGACAAGTCTAGAACTTCCTGGTACACAGCAATGTTTGTTGAGTGAACAAATGAATGAATGTATGCATCTGAAGCATTTAGGTGACGATGGCCTGTAGTGTCTCACCAAGAGCAGACATTAAATCAAATCAGACATTTATAGAGCAGAAAATGAGACTCCTCTTGGGCAGACAAGATCTAAATATGAAAACCAAATGTGAAGAGTCAAACAGTGCTAGACTGTGATACAGATGACCCTAGAGTAGCCTGGCCCTTGTTGCCAAGTGACTAATTGAGCAGTGAATGCCCAAGGGGGCCTTCAGGGAAGATGTGGAAAGGGCAAAGAAGGGGGGATAAATGGCAGGGATGAAAATCACAGGGCCCCTTGGGGAGACCCCAGGCTGGCAATTTGGCATGGAAGGTTGGGGAGAGAAGAAAGCAGCTCTTGTGGCTTGAGGCCGAGGACATGCCAGGCACAGGGTCTGCCCTGGAAACACATGCTATTCCCGTTAGTCTTCACAAGCACTCAGTGAAGCAGGTGCTGTTGTTATCCCTGTTCTACATTTGAGAAAAAGGAAAAGTCCATGGCTTGTTCAGGAAGAACATGGTGGAGCCAGGATTCAGACCTCCTCTTATGAGATGTGGTGGTCAGGTTCAGGTGCTTGAATTCGAGGGTTTTTTTAGCGGGAAATGATGTATACAAGGACAGATTAGGGGGTTGGAGGCAGGATGGCCACTTAAAAGGCTGTTATTGTAACCCAGTGGGAAATGAAGAAACTCCTCATTCCACGCACTGGGTTTCCTGCATGGTAGGAGGACCAGCTGAGGCCCGACCCTGGCACTCCCATGCCCAAGGTGTATCCCTGCCCCATGGTAGGCCAGCCCAAAGCAGTCTCCACAGAGGAGGGCTAGGAGTGCAGGACTTGGGTCACCCTCCTCCCAAGGCCCAGGGCTGGCCTCGGTCCTGAATGGGGTGGTGCCTGCCCTGCGAGGGCACTTCCGCAGCCCTTCGTCCCGGTAGAGAGGGCTTCTGGGGGAGACACATGTGCTCTCAGGACAGCTTGGCAGACCAGAGCCACCCCATCTTGGGGGTAGAGAGGCCCTGCGTGCTCACACTCTCTCTCCCCTTCACTGGCTGCTTTTCTTTCCAAGAGCTTGGCGAGGTGACGAGGCTAACCCTGTAGCACTAGCCACACCTCCAGGAAGGGGAACTTCATCTTGGGCCTCTGGCTGCTGCCAGGCTTGCCAGAGCTTCCTCCCTGACCTACCTCCGTGGGAGAAGCACGGGCTTGACGTGCAGCCTGGGGTTCCGATTACAGGCGGTGGAGAGTCTCCCCTAAGCTGGGCAAGGCTATCCCCACGCAGGGTACCCTGGCCACAATGGCGTGAGGACACGCCCGGGTCCCCTTCCCAGAGGCTTCAGCTCTTGTGCACATGTGTGATCCACTTGTCCTCCCACGGGAACCCCGAGTCGGGAGAGCAGAATGTGGGCCTCCTGCCCCAGATCAGGGAGGCAGAAGTGCCGACCTCAGGGCTGTGTGATCCAGCCTCCCACTTCGCCTGACTCCTCAGTCCTGGCACACTTGCTCCATCCCCCGTCAGTCCCACTCCTTCCCTTGGGCCCTTGGCATGCTTTTGTCATTTGGAGTCTTATCCATTTGTACTTATTGTTGATTCTAATTACACTCAGGTGAAACAGAACTAGAGCGTTCACTCCTAAGATTGGCTCTCCAGGGTTTAAACACCCCAACAGCATGTTTGCCTCATCTGAGAAGGTGTGATTTCCATCTTGCTGTCTGTGACTCTCCTGTTCATCCTCAGAAGCCCTCATCTTCCCAGGGGGAGAAGGAAGCCCAGCACTCCCGGGAACAGGGAGCCCTGGGTCTGCTCACAGCTTCTCCGCACCCCAGGGTGCCCTCTGGGTTCCTGTGACATGCCCAGGCCCCATGTTTTCTTACGGCTAGGGATGCCGCTAAGTGTTCTGGGAGGCTAGTCATTCAGTAGAGATCTTTATTGAGGACCTTCTCTGGATCAGGCAGTGTGTTGAGCACTGGGGCTACAGCGAGATTAAGACAGACCCGGTCCCTGCACTCCAGGAGCCCGCATCTAGCATGAGAGACCGTGCACATGCTAACACATCAGAAGAGGAGAGTAATACAGACTGACTGGTGTAGTGAGGGGCATGAGCAGGGGCGTGAGAGAGAAAACAGCTCAGAGCAACAAAGTAGATCCGATGGCTGGGAGGGCATCTTTAGGCCAAGACTGAAGTGTACAAGAGCCAGCCAGTAGAGAGCCTGGGAAAGAATGGGCAGCAACGTCCCTTGACCCTGGGCGGTCTCTCCCTCTGCAGGCTCGTGGAGGAGTTCATGCTCTTGGCCAACATGGCAGTGGCCCACAAGATCCACCGTGCCTTCCCTGAGCGGGCCCTGCTACGCCGGCACCCCCCACCCCAGACCAAAATGCTCAATGACCTGGTGGAATTCTGCGACCAGATGGGACTGCCCATGGACTTCAGCTCCGCTGGGGCCCTCAATGTGAGTGCTGGGTGGGGTAGGGGGCAAAGGGAGGCCCTGCCTAGGGGAAGAGGAAGAAGGCCTGCAGGTTGGGAGTGCAGCAGCCTCTACATCCCACGAGAGTCCACTCGTCTTCAAACAGGTCTCCCGCAGAAGAGGGAGGCCCTGGAGAGAAGGCCTCCAAGTCACGGAGACCCTGACCATGGGCTGTGCTCCCACCAGGACCGAGCTGAGGGAGACCACTGGAGGCTCAGCTGTGGGCAGGGATTCTGTGGCCAAGGATGGGCTGGGCTTGGGCCCAGAGGCTTTCCATTAGGGCGCTGGGTTTATTGGAAGCCAGGGAATATTTTTTGTGGTAAGTAGTGTCAAGTGCTCACTGCCTAGAGCTAAGCCTCACAGGGCTCAGAAACCCATGGCCTTGGTTCTGATCCCACAGGAGGAGACCACTGTCATGCGTGCTCCAAGCCTGGGGTAGGCAGAGAAGTGCCTTAGGTCAGACAGCTGGAAACCAGTCTGTCCAGGCCAGCCAGCTAGACACGAAAGGACTGACCTCAGAGCCAGGGCCCTTGAGGCAGACCCAATGTGGGACACGAGTTGGGGGCTGCTCCCCTCTGCACCCTTCCCATGGCCATCTGAGCACGGCTGGGCCCCTCACCTGACCCTTCCTCCCCAGAGCCACGTCTCAGATGGTTAGCAGGTGACAGGGCCCCAGAGCCTCTCACCAAGCCTGATTGCATATCACATGGGTTTGCCTCTAGAAAAGTCTGACCGAAACATTTGGAGATGACAAGTACTCACTGGCCCGGAAGGAGGTGCTCACCAACATGTGCTCCCGGCCCATGCAGGTAAGGAGGGGCTGAGTCCCCTGTCCTCCCCCTTCTCCCAGGAGCACCCATGACCTCATTGGTGGGCACGGAGGACCTGAGGGGAGGAAGGGGGAGAATGCCCCCAGGCAACACCTAGAACAGGTGGACCCCAGGCGCCTGAGCCTGATCTGCTACTTCCTGCTCAGACTTGACTGCCTCACCTGCTCAAGGATGGTGTTGTCTGTGGCTTCAGAGGGCCCAGTTTGAGCCCTGCTGCCCCCCTCCATAGCTTCTGTTTGCCTGGCAGAAAGCAGGGAGACACCACAGGGCATGCACCAGCCTTCAGTGCCCAGTCCCCACAGACCAGACCAGCTTGGGAAAGGGAATGGGGGCTGGTCAGCAATTTGTGGTTGGATGGGAACTGTGGTCTGTCTTCCATAGCAGCCTGCCCAGAGGAGCGCACCTCAGCCCCCACCTTGGCCTGTGGACCCCAGGCAGAGAAGTCTCCCTCTCACTGGCCAGGATACAAGGAGTTGGGCCATAGGCATGTGTCTGCAGGCAGGGTGGCAGCCTGGCAGTCTGGCATCCTGGGAGGTGGATGATGGGCTTGCTCCTGGCAGCCTGTCTCAGCCCTCTGAGGCCAAGTTTCAGCCCCTGTAGGCCTGAGCATCTTAGAAAGGAGCCACCTCAGTGGACTGTTAGGTCAGCAGGAGCTGCAGATGCTAACGGGGCCAGCTCTAGGCCCCAGCCTGGCCAGGGGGCAGTGACAGACCATTATTCAGGGGCTCAGTCGCTCAGCAGATTCAGTCTGTTCAAAAGAACCAGATTGGCTCAGGTAGCCACAGCTGATTTATTTTCTGACACCTCATAGCTCTTCCAGGAATGGAGCCATCAGGGCCTATTTGGGTCTGGCTGCCCTTACCCTGCCCCCGGTCACAAGTGTCTGCCACACACCAAGTACCTTGAAGCTCCCACACAGAGAGGGGGGTCTGCCATGGCCACCGACTACTCTGCCCTCCAGATGCTCTGAGACGCAGCAGCCCCTGGGTCCCAAGAATTGCCTCCTGTCCTCCTTGACCAGGGTTGCATGAGCTCTGGAGCTCCACGGAAAAGAGCCCTCTCCTGCGTCCCCCAGAGCCTGATAAAGACTGCACTTCTCCTGGCCTTGCCTGCCAGTGACCTCAGAGGCCAGCCTTTGCCTGAGGATCTGATGGCAGGGAGTGACCAGAGTGTCTGTGGTGCCTCTGTTCTCCCAGCCCCGAGAACTGGGGCAGGGACAGAGGACCAGGCAGAGGCAGCAGCACTGAGCATGCAATCCTAAGTGAGCTGCTGAAACAGGACAGTAGGGCCGTCCCAGGGACGGCTGGTCACTGTGGGAAAGTCCCAGTCCCCACCCATTCCACCCTGCCCAGAGTCACCTTCGCCAGTCAGGAAGGGAGCCAGGGCCCTCTGTCCTCCTCACCCCAACTCACATGAGGAACCAGGCCACCACTGAGAACCAAGCCCAGACATGGCTCGGAGTGGAGGCTGCTCCCACCTCCCCCCACGACTTGCCCCAGCCATAACCCGGGGCCCAGCAGGAGCTGGAAGGGAAGCGGAGTTGGGGAGCTGAGCAGGTCACCACCAGCTGTACCCTTGAGTCCAGGGCCGATGTACACAGAGTAACCAGAGCTGACTGTCCATGTGGCCGAGTGTGCAGGAGCGTGTGAGGGTGTGAGAGTGTGAGCAAGCAGCAAGGGAGCGAGTTAGTGAGCACACAGGGTGTGACTTTGGCCCTCGATGAGGAACCTGTTTTCTTGCTCCCATGCAGCAGCAGCATCTTTGATTCCCAGCCCTGAGAGCTTGGGGACCACAGGGCAAGCAGCTTCAGGGACTGTGGCCAAGACTTCCAGGACAGTAGGACCGCTCCAGCCTGGAGCTATTTGCTGAGCCCCTAGAGAAACTTGGCATCTCTTCCTGTGCTCAAGTCATACCTCCTGCCCTGCAGAACGGCCTTTGGAACTCAGACCTCTGTCTTGGCCCCAGGACAGGTTGAGGGACAAGAAGGGCTGAGCGAGGCAGGCTGGCAAACCTCTACCTCCCTTGGCTGGTGCAAAGTGAAATGTTGGGGGCACAGAGGTGCCAGGGTGCAAGGATGGCCTTCAGCAGGGTCACGCATCGGGGCCAGAGGGCATGAGGTTGGCCACGACCAAAGACTGGGCCTGGGCCAGAGAGAGCCAGGCGCCCACCATTTTGCTCTGGGCGAGCCATGGGCATCCTGGGCCTCCTCTCCTCCCTCCCATTCTGGCCACGTGGTGGTGTTGGACTGTGTGTCCTCACAGAGTCCTGCAGCCTCCTTAGCTTCTGCTTGTGCCTCCACAGGGCAATGTCTGCAGCCCCTGGTCCAGCACGGGGCTGCCCTCCTCCTCCCCGTTCCAGAGTAGCCAGCCCAGCCCCATCTGGGGAGGGGCAGACCAGAAACAGTTCCCTCCTGCTTGTTCCTGGCAGTAACAGCCGCTAAAACTCAGCAGTGACAGGCTGTGGGGGAGGGTCAGTTCCTTCCCAGCTGCCTCAGACTTCAGCATGTGGTCTGCCCCTCCCCAGGGGCCTGGGTGGCCAGTCCTGCAGGACCCTGAGGGAGGAGGCCATCCAGCATCCTGGGGGTTCCCAGCACCCCCTTGTCCTCAGCGGAGGCAGGGTAGGCCACTTGCAGGGCTGTCTGGCCTGTTCTCAGTGCTGCCGCCATAAGGGAGTCTGAGCAACCCAGGCATTCTTTTTGCCTTCAGTAGCAGAGGGGCGTGGGTTGGGCATGGGTCCCCCGTGGCTCCGCTCAACCCCAAGGCAGCCCTGTGGGTCCCCTTACACAGAATGGTCCCTGCCAGACTCAGGCCTGCCTGGCTTTGCTCAGCTGCCTGCGGCCTGGCAGGTCAGCCCACACCAGGACTGTCCATTGCGAGGCTCGGAGTCCCACAGCCTGGCAGAGCACACCAGTCCTCTCCCCACCCCCCTAGATGGCACTGTACTTCTGCTCGGGGACACTGCGGGACCAAGCGCAGTTCCGGCACTACGCCCTCAACGTACCACTCTACACGCACTTCACCTCTCCCATCCGCCGCTTCGCTGATGTCCTGGTGCACCGCCTCCTGGCTGCCGTGCTCGGTAAGGGGCGCAGCCCGGGGCATGGCAGGTCTGTGCCCAGTAGCCACACTGCTGTGACTGTGGAGGCCCCAAGGGGTGGGCAGCCCAGCCCTGGAAACTCTCCCTCTATGAGCATGGTGAAGTTGCAACGAGTTGCAAGCTCGTTGAAAGCCCTGTAAAAGCTGGGGCTCAGGCCCTAACCATGGCCGGCCCTCCTTTCTTAGCCCTCCAGACCTCGGCAGCAGGGAACCCTTAGCTCCGCTGGACCTCCTAAGCCCCACCTTCTCTGGGCCGGGGGCACCATGCTGCCCATCCCCCAGCCACGGCTGGTGCACAGAGAGCACCCCACCATTGGTCCCCCGACCATCCTCTTCCCAGGCTACAGGGAGGCACCCGATGTGGAACCCGATGCCCTGCAGAAGCAGGCCGACCACTGCAATGACCGCCGCATGGCATCCAAGCGGGTGCAGGAGCTCAGCACCAACCTCTTCTTTGCTGTCCTGGTCAAGGTGAGCCCACCAGCCTGGAGCCCCTCCCCCTCTCCACCCCACTTCCCCTCCTGGGCACCTGCTCCTGAGGAGCCCTTGAGGAGCCCCAGGGCCTTCAGCAGCCGGGGTGGGTCCTAGAGGGATGCTGCGTCCTGTGGGCTTGCCTTGGCTGGAGCCCTGCCCTGCAGGAGAGTGGCCCCCTGGAGTCGGAAGCCATGGTGCTGGGCGTCCTGAACCAAGCCTTCGACGTGCTGGTGCTGCGCTATGGGGTGCAGAAGCGTATCTACTGTAATGTGAGTACCCAGAACCTCCCCAGCCGGGGTTAAAGACCTTCTGGGCAGGCAGAGGCCAGCTACAGGGTGCAGAAGTGTGTCTCCGGTGATGCGAGAGCCCGGGGTCTGAGCGGCTTCTGTGCCCTCCTCTCTCGCACAGTCATACCAAACCACGTCCACTTAGCACACTGTTTTTACCTGCCTGTCCCCATTCCCTCTGCTAGGGTCTCCTCTGTATCTCCCTAGCATCTGGTGGGGTCCTGGACCAGGGACAGCCTTTGGTAGACACACAAGCATGGAGGATGGGAGCACAGGGCCAGGACCACACACTGGGGCACACAAGCTATGGTGGTGACACTGTGCCCATCACTCAGCTGTGGGCCATGCTGGGCACATGATGGCAGAGGATATGGAGCCCCTGACCTTGCTCCCCTCCCCCACCCAGCACCAAGCCCACCCAATGGGCCCTGCCAAGACACCCCACTGCACGTGCCTGGGATGAGGGATCCAGGCCAAGCGTCAGGCATGGGCCTCTTCCCAGTGACCCAGGCAACCGTGGACCAGGTCCTTCCATAACCAGTACAGGACGGCAGGGTGTGCAGGCTTTGGGAGATTGTTTTATAGGAACATGAGGGAAGGAAAGACCAGGGAGAATGGTCCGTGGCCACCTGGAGGCTGTGTCCCCTGAAGAGAAGGAGACCAGAGCTTGTCTTGGGTCCTGCCCCGGGTGGCTGTTTATTCCAGGGTCTTTCCAACAACTGACCTAACACCACCTGAGGAACCTGTTTCAGGTGACCCTGTGATTAGTAGGTTACCAACTGTTTAGAATTTCCTAACATCCAAAACACTGGGGAGTGCCGAGTCCAGCTCAGAGTGTGGAATAACATGGTATTAATGAGATGGAGGAAAGCAGGAGAGACAGAGTGGAGTCCAGCTGGAATCATCAGGGCTGTTGTCCTGAAGTTCCTTGAGCAGGACGGAAGTTCAGGTCTAGGTCATCTCTGTGGACAACCCAGCCCTCAGTCTGTGCTAACAGACCCAGCGCCAGCAGGGGGCGGCAGCCGTCCAGCCTCAGGTGCCAGGTCCACCTAGGCCCCGCGTGGGCAGTCCCTGATGAGCCAGGATAGACCCACGCCCTCCCCCAAATAACACACAGAGCCACTGGCCCCGCCCAGCCCCGCCCCTCGGCACTTGTCACCCTCAGGTGCTGCCTCAGCCCAGGATGGCCTGGCGGGGCCTCCCTGAAGCTGGCCAGAGGCGAGGGTGGGGTGGTCCCCAGGGAAAGGTCAAGCGGCCAGCTGCTGGGTGGGAGGACAGGGGGCTGCCTCTGAGAAGCAGGAGGCCTTGCGGGGTCAAAAGTTAGGAGGCGGCACCCAGAGCCCAGGGCCTGAAGCACAGGTGTGTGCACCCCCAGGCACTGCCCCTGCGGTCCCAGCACTTCCAGAGGGTGGGCAAGAAGCCGGAACTCACACTTGTCTGGGAGCCTGAGGACATGGAGCAGGAGCCAGTGCGGCAGGTCAGAACCTGGGGGTGGGGCAGCTTTTCCAGAACACCCCTGTGTCCCCATCCACCTCCCAGCTCTTGGTGAGCCCTCCTCCTGCCTCCTGGGGCGCACTCCCTGGGCCTGCCCGTGTGTCCCTCCAGGTCTCCCACAGCGCTCAGGCTCCCGGGTGGGGTTTCAAGCTCTACATGCTGAGGTGGCAACAGCTCACCCACACCCCATCCTTTGGGCCCAGCTTTTTGGTACCACCTTCCCTCCCTTGGAGACACGCACTGTGGGGAGAGGTGGGGGGGCTCTGCCTATCCCTCCAAAGCAGGGTTCTTAACTTTTGGGGTCCTTTTGAGAATCTGATGAAAGCTGTGGACCTCCACCCAAGAAAACCTATATGACACTTTTGCCTACAACCTGCTCCCAATGCCGGCCCAGACCTCAGTTCTTTTTCCCTGACACGGAGGCTTGTGATGCACCAGGCATAGCACACTGCTGTGTCCGGCTCCTTTACTTCTCACCAAGAAACAAGGCCTCAGGACGTGAGCGGGCTCAGCTTACAGACGGAGGCTGAGAGAGGCAGAGCCAGTGATCCCGGCAGCCCAGCTGGGTGGACAGTGGCAGGGCTGGGCTTTGCCCGCAGGCCCCTCCCCCCGTCCCGCTGGGCCAACCCCTTAGGACGTGCCCGTGTCACTGTGCCCGGCTCTGCTCTGCCCCAGGTCGTCACCATCTTCAGCCTGGTGGAGGTGGTGCTGCGGGCGGAGGACACGGCCCTCAAGTACAGCGCCATCCTGAAGCGGCCGGGCACCGAGGGCCTCCTGGGCCTGCAGGACAAGGAGGAGGGTGACCACGACCCACAGGAGGACTGAGACCGCCAGCGCAGCCGCACCCCACCCACCTACCCACCAGCCCCACCCACTGGCTTTTAGGAATAAGACCTTTTGACACCAAAGGGGATTTTTAATTTGGTTTTTAACAACTCAGGGTTTTGTTTTCATTTTTTTCCTTTTATTTTATTTTGGCTGCTCAGTTTTTAACAAACTGGAGGGGAGAGGGTGGGGCTGGACGGAAGGCCGAGGCCTGGCCAGTGCTCCTGGGAGGCCAGCCCCACTGCTGCCAGGCCACCACTGCCTTCCCCTGCCCAGGAAACCGAGGGTTTTCAGCAAATCAGTGTCACGGAATAAAATCGAGTGTGAAGCGCTGCCTGGTGTGTGGAGCACCGCTGGGAGGCGGGGGTGGCAGGGTGCCCCTTGAACCCAGGACAACGGACCTGACTCAGGCTTCACCCCTCACAGGTGAGCTGGGCTCACTACTCTCCAGAACCTTCCTGTCAGTTCCAGGAAGATTCACAGAGCTGGCCGCTTGGCAGATTGATGCCAGCGCCTCATTCTGGCTGATTAGAGACGTGATTAGTATGCAAGACGGCAAACTCACCCTTCACCCTGCCATATGTGGCTGTGTCTGTCCCCGCCCCCACCACTTCCTCTCTGCCCACCAGCCCCACGTGGCCTCTGGAGGGGAAGTGTGGGACCTGTGACATCTCCCCCCCCCAACCCCCCGGTTCCTAGGCCAGAGCTGAGTGGCCCTGTCCACACCCCTTGTTGGGAGCCGGTGCCTCAGCACCTGCAGTCCCAATTCTGCGCCCTGGCAGCACTGAGGGAGCCTGGGGACAGGGTGAGGCCTGGGTCTGACGGAGGGGAGGAGGGCCCTCAGACGGCCCTTCCTGACTAGGGATGGGACAATGGGCTCTTGGTGGCCCCGGCCTGGCCTGGTTTCATCCTGAGCACCCACTGATCCCACCATCCTTGGGGACCCGGGGACAGACATGGCAAGCCACCGAGCCCTGCTTGCTCCCCATGGCCTGATCTCAGCCTGTGCTCCGAGTTTCTCCACCAAACTGGGGAAGCACAGGTTGGCTTCCCCATGGCTGCCAGAAACTTGGGTGAAAACCACAGTGACCTAGGTCCCACCAGCCATTTCCTGGGCTGTTGATATTGACAAGCTCGTTTGATCTGATCACAGAGAATTTTCTTCAAAGAACAATTCAACACAGTACCTCCTGGGAGGGCGGCACAGTCCCTGGAGCAGCGACAGGGCCGGGCTGCTTTTGTCTGCCCCCGGCTGGCCGTGGTGCATCGTCTGCTCAGCACTGGGCTGGGGGCCAGAGGGGAACAAAGGACACGTCATTGTACCTGCACGGGGTTCCTTTCTCTCCTTCAGTCTGTCTATCCAACCACCCACAAGATGTCCCAGAGACCACCATCCCCTCTCTGCTTCTGTCCCCACAGCCTTCTCCTGAACCACATATCTGGAAGGGGAGACAGGTGAGGGTCTGGTGGTTTGGTGTTTGGATGAGGAGGTTTCTGGGTACTTCCCTGGCCTGGGCAGCCTGACAGTGGGAGCACAAGGGCGAGACATCTCAACCTTGTTCCCATGCTCTCAACTGCCCCACCCTCAGAGGAGGAGCAGCCCCTTTCTCCTCGGGCACTGTCCCCAAGGGCCTCCACCAGCGCCTGGGAGCTGAGGGCAGAGCAGACCACCCCATGGAGTGGTGCCTTTAGCAGGGCGGTGGGTCAGAGTGGGGGCTCCCTCTGGGGCAGCATGGACCCAGGCCGGAGCCCCTCCTTACTGCCCCAGCATCCACACGACCCCGGTGGTGAAGCACAGCCAACTTGGTCAGCAAGGAAGATCTTTGCTGCCTGGCCTTGCTGCGGAGGCAGAGGCTGGCCTCCCCCTGATGCCCCTAGAGCATGGGGGCCACAGCAGCCCCAGCCAACCCCATCCCACTTGACAGGACTGGAAACTGCACCCAGAAGGGAGGCAGGTCTCTGGGCAAAGTGACAGAGCAAGACTGTGCCCAGTCAGGTCCAGGGCGTAGGTACCTGCCCTCCCCCCGACCCCCCCGCCATGGCCTGTGGGCTCCAAGCCCACGGGCCTCCACTCTTCACTCCAGTGCAGCTAGTCCTCATCTTCGTCCACTCACTCAGCAAACGTCTTGACTCTACCCACGTGCAGCGTGTTGGAGGGACACACGTCCATGAGCCCAGTGAGGGAGACAGCCCCTTCTGTGGCCCCTGGCTAAGGGGACTGTTGAGAGAAGGGGGTGACAAGGCACAAACATTGTCAAAAAGGAAGATGGTTCGTTCTTTCAGCTGTCCCAGAGCGATGCATGGATGTCTCTCCCAGCGCCAGTGCAGGCCACAGCCCAGAGCACAGAGCACAGCTCTGTCTTTCCTCAAGGGGCCACCTCGGGGCGCCATCGAGGAGGGAGACGTGGACATCAATAATGTCACTACATGACGAGGTTCTAGGAAAGTGCAGACTGGAGAGTGTCTTCACACTCATGGAGGGACGGTGCCCAGAAGAAGAAGGTGCGGGCAGTGGGCCCCATGGGTGAAGGCCTGAGGCTTGAAGGTCCTTGACACGGCTGTGAAGGTCCAAGGGCACTGGATAAGAGAGTGCAGAGAGGACGTGGAAGGTTACGCTGTAAGGTAGGAAGAGGTGGGTCACCACAGCACCTCTGTGCCAGCCAGGGAGTGGCACTGCATCATGGGCAGGGCAGAGCCATCAGGCTTTTTATCAGGGCTGTGACACGATATGACCTCTGTTCCCTCTCTCACTTAATCAACAGCACTGAGTGCTTACTATGTGCCAGTGTTCCTAGGGGGCCAAAGGTCAGGACGGGCTGGTGTTCCTAGTGTCTGATGTGGCAGGTGGTGGTGACGGTGTGAATGGGAAAGCAGGGGAGGGAGGCCAGGCGTGGGCAGAGGAGCCCACAGGGCAGCCTGGTGGCTATTTGCAGGACAAGCCTGGGGGCAGGACTGTGCTTGGTCAGTGGAGGGGGCCAGAGGGCAGAGCGCTGGGGTTGAAGGAGCTAGAAGGAGAGCCACGGGAGCTGAGGCGCTGGGCTCACCTCGGCCTTTCCCGTGGCGGTGAGGACTTCCCTGGCAGGGTTTGAGCACAAGAGAGGACAAGCCAGCACCCCTGGGCTGCGTGCTGAGAATAGACCTAGGGGCTCCAATGGAGGCAGGGGCCCAGGGCCGGGATGGGGAGGAGGGGAGTGTGGGGAGGAGCAGTAGGGTGGTGAGAGCTAGTCAAGTTGGGGGCGGTAGTGAAGGTCAGGCTGACAGGGTTTGCTGAAGGAGTGGGTGTGGGAGTGACAGGAGGGGGTGAAGTGCAGGCAGAGCCCGGCATCTGGCGGGGTGTCCTGGGCACACAGCCCCGATTTAAAGCCTGGGAGGACTCAGAGGACTGACCATCTGAGGTCAGGAAGATGAGGAGGAGCCCAGAGCAGTGGGGTCCTGAGGCTTCAGGAAGATTCCTATCTCTTGAGTGCAGTGGAAAGAAACCCAGCGTGAAGTGGCTTTAGGAGGAAGGGAATGATTGGAAGGCTCCTGGGTTGTATGTGAACTACCAGAACAGTCCAGAACACGGTGGCACCTCCAGGTCACCTGGGGCCCAGAAATCCTCCATGGCTCTCTGTCTCCCTTCTGTGTTTCTGCCTCCTTGCCTCCTGGTATCGATTGCTTCTGGAAACCTGAGTTTCTGTAGCTCACCACCTACCCCGCTGGAGAGAGATTGACTCCCTCCCAGTTCTAGTTGGGAGAGACCCCAGGAAGGAAGGGAGCTGATGCCCACCCGCAGCCCCATCAGAGCAATGTCATGGCACAGAATGGTCTCCTGGGGACCTGCGCGGTTGGGAGGGTCGGGCAAGAAGCTGGGGAGCAGGTCCCAGAAAGAGATGAGGCCACTGGGGAGACACAGCATCAGATGCCCCCTGTAGCTGCTCTGCGCACAGAGCAGTGATGGGCCACGAGGCAGGAAGCGGGAGGCCAGGTCGGAGGGGCCATGATAATCCAGGTGAGATGAAGGCCTGAGAGAGGGAGCAAATCCCAGATGTCCAGACGGACCTGGCACAGCGGGGTGCTGAAGTCACAGGCAAGGATGGGCTGCTGACAGAGGAGCAGGGAGGACAGCCCCGGGGCAGTGGGTGTGGAAAGGGCTGGGGGCAGAGAATGGAGTTCAGAGAATGAGGCTGAGTCTTGCAGCGGGCTTAGGAGACCACTGATGCTCAGCAAGGGCTGGGAAGCAGCTGTCTCTGCAACAGCTGAGATATGGAAACACCCGAAGTGTCCATCAGCACAGGAATGGATAAAGAAGATGTGGTTCATACATACAACGGAAGATTATTCAGCCATGAGGAAGAAGAAGATCCTGCCATTTGTGACAGGGGTGGACCTGGCCGACATTATGGTCGGTGAAATAAGCCAGGCACAGAAAGACAAACGCTGCACGTTCTCACTTCTATGTGGAATCTCAAATAAAAGCAGAGA